AGATTAAACCTACCATCTTATTTTTTCTTCTAATTGTCCCATTTCTTCATTTTTCCTCTTCCGTTTTCTTGCCTTCTTTTTCATGAATCATATATATTTTTTTATAATCTAATTTTTTATCTGCTGTTGACTTATTGGCTACTATGTCTCTTTGTTTTCCTTTGGGGGGGTAGTTGCTTTACAGTTTATATTAAACTTCATTAACTTACCACACTTTATCTCAAAAGAATATGATACCGTTTTATCACACATATTGTAAAAATATTACATCAGCATACATCCTTTGCCCTCTTCCTTTGCTCTACTGTTGTCACATGTTTTATGTCTGCATGTGTTATGAAAGTCATTATTATTATAAATGGCTGTTTCCATGATCTCTCAACTGCATTTCTGAAGAGAATTGAAAAATGCAAAGCCTTGTAACAGAGGAGTACCACGAGGAGACTTCAAAATGTTTGTGGAAAATGAAACTAAAAGATAATGGAATTTTTCCATAAATTCTTAAAGCCCCCTCATATTCTGAATGGTTTCTTTTCACTGACACTAAAAATAGATTTTAAGAACAATTTATGTTAAAGACACTGCATTCTAACTCAGGTAACCCAGTAAAAGCTGAGAAATCAATGTCTTACAGCCTCAGAAACCCTACACAGGGTCGCTATGAAAAGGCACCAACTCAGCAGCACTTAACAACAACATATCGCCTGTAAATTTCTAAGCACAAAATCAAATCATGCCTGTCTCCCCAAGCTTCACTTTTAATATTTAAGGTAATTACTTGGTAAATTTGTTACTTCTAAAACAAGTTAATTTAGATTCTGTTTTACATGCCTTTAACTTCATGCTTAGCAACTGTAGAACTTTAAGAAAATACAGAACTAAAGGAAATCTGACATTACAATTTACCCAAAAACAGATAACAAAATTATCTATCATTTTAATAGTAACTTTACTCTGGAGCCTTTTTATTCATATAGTAAAATATTATACATCATGCTCAAGATTTTGGTTTTCAAGATGTACGTACATTTTATTATTTGTATCCTCTTTCTTGTTTTTGCTGTTGGGATCTTTGTGGTTATTTTTAAATTAGTCTCATTGTATTCTTTATTTTTTAATTCTATTCTTTCTACTGTTTTCTTTTGTTAAGAAGCAGTGCTTTCTGGATCATTTTTTTATTCAATAGTTTGGGCTAAGAAACCAGAACAAAGAAGTGGATTGCTGCATCCAGCAAAGCCTGTGTCTGTACTTTTCATGTATATAACTATTCCTGTGCTCCACTGAAAGAGACCAGAATCATCCCCATCAATCACAAGTCATAGTAACAGGTTCATTTGCAGAAACGCTGCTGTGATGACTAACATTAGGTATTAGTTTAGCTAAGTTATGATTCTCAGTAGTTTGGCAGACACTGCACTGACAATGCTCTTCCATAATGTGTTTCCTTCGGGGTGTGACCTACTCCTCCCCTTTTCTCCACAGGATTCTTCTCCTTGCTTCATCTCTGGTTCCAGGGATGCAAGCCTTCATAAGTCTTCATCTTGTTACCTGACCTATACTTATTTTATATTTGACGTTCCCTACAAAGCACTGGTAGCGTAGTGGTTACGAATCGGGCTGCGAATCTTAAGGTCAGCGGTTCGAAACTACCAGCTGCTCCACGGGAGAAAGATGAGGCTTTCTACTCCCGTAAAGATTTACACCCTCGGA